CGTACGACCCTCGGTGTTACTTGCGCATGCTTTACTTAGTATTTTCCTATGGATTGAACTTCGTATATGCCTTAAAATGTAAAAGGGATACCCATGATATTATCTAGAAAAAGAACTGTTATTCATTGCCATAAAATGCTAATTAATTGTGCTATCCATGCTTAGAATAAATTCTTTCTCATATTATTTGACCCTAGTAAGTATCAAGTCGACCTCTCGTGTCTACTTCTTCGAGATTAGATGGGATACTTACTGGGTAAATATTGTTTATGTACTCATACTACACTTCTGTACTTAATTGTATAGGATCTGAGGCAGGTATCTCTGGCTATCAGTGTGGCGCGCATCCCTGAGCAGATTTCAAGACTTCTACGGTGAGATGCTTCCCTTCCCATGTCGTTCAGCAGCTTGAAGGAGTCTCTCTTATTTATTTTTGTTGTCTATTCTATTTCGGACAGTAGGATAGATTGATTCTTTTGTATATTCTACTAGTTGCCCACAACTTGTGACACCAGGTCTTGACACACACATTAGTAGACTAATATTTTGGGTTGTATGATTATTTTTGGCACTTTACTGTTCATTTCTGGTTTTTACCCTAACTTAAGGAATTATTGCAACTAAGTTGGTAAAAGTAAGTGAGAACTTATTTAGTATTTTCCATGTTGGCTTGCCCTGCTATGGTATTGGGCGCCATCATGACCTATTATGGAAATGGGTCGTGACAACCAACATCTCGATGACATACAATAGCCTAGTCGTCTCATAAAGTCTTCTAGCGGCAGTTTTGCCTTCCATACCTTGCAAATAAGGGTGGCAATTTGAGCCCAAACCCATCTAATCGTTTTTCTGCACCACCCACCCACCCCAACCCCGCAATTTTATTTTTTTTTTGTATTTTCAATTTTCTGACCCCGCAATTTTATTTTATTTTACTTTTTTGTTGTATTTTTAATTTTTTATTTTCTGTTTTTTCGTTTTTCTGCACCACCCCCCACCTCACCCGTAAAATATTTTATAACTTACACATTTTAAATACTAATTTGTTAAAAGTTAAAGGCTTTGTTTATGCAAGATGAGCATGGTTCTAAAACATAGGTCAAGTTGGGCGGAGTTGGGCTATGACCCATTGTTTAGCCCATCTTGACTTAGCCCATCTTAACCTAAGTACACTTTGGGCTGGGTTGGGCAATGACCCATTTATTGACCTAACCCATCTTGACCCGCCCAAATTCAGCCCAACCCGTCCATTTGCCACACCTACCCATACTTTATGAGGTGTCTTATAAACTCATTTAACTTTAAACCTTAACAAACCACATTTAATTTGTGTCAACCTTTTAACGATAGCAACCAATATACAATTATTCTTAATACAAAATATATGTGCAAGTTCATAAACTCTTACACAAAAAACCAATCATTTTCAAGGGGAGACTCCTAAAGTCCACAATCTCCGAAAAAAATGGAGGTGAGACAATACTTAAAAAGAACTAAAAAGTATTTACAACATAAAAGTTTATTCATGTAAAATATTTTCCTTTTATATCCAAAAGCACATGATAAAAAAAGTTTATATATTATTTTTTTAATTTAATATTTATCCATGTCAAGTTTTAAGAAAATATCTAACAAATTTCAAATAGACGGATGAAAAACTTTGATATTATTACATTACTACATGATCAAGAGGAAAAAATGTATGTTAAAAGAACTCATAAAGAAATGCATTAAACCATAACACACAAAAATAGGCTTTTATTTAATTGTTCACCCGCAAACGCAATGAATAGTCCAGGTGGTTTCGCTTATGCTGAGCAGCCGTTATGTGAGGACCACCGCTGTTTGATAAAAGTCATGTTTACTCGATATCTTTAGCTACTTAACCCAACTATGGTTAATGTTGACTTTGTCTGAATGTTCTTTTCGTACTAATATCTGCTATTCTTATTCCATTCATGGCAAAATAAATAGGTATCCCTAGAGGCTATAATTAGCATTGTTTAATGATCTGTTGTCCACGAAAATGATATGAAACGTGATAATTGAAATTAGATCAATATATATATAAAAGGTCATGAGACAAGGACTTTATTTGACAAATTTCATATGATAGTTGTGAAGCGTTTCAATTAGCGGTTACTTGATTTTTTTTAGGGATAAATTTAGATGGATAATATAATGATGTTAAAACTAAATAATTATAAATATTTAAATATGCATGGCAAATAAAATAAAGGGATGTGAACTCGCTGTTCATCACTTAATTGACATGGCTTGTTAAATGTTAATACTTGTATGTGCACATTTATAAGATGCATGCATTTTATCAACGTACTTGCTTATTTGATCATTACTGTTATTATTTTTTTGCCCCTCTCCCCTATTTTTGTTACGTTATAGAACTATACAAATAGCTCACATTTTAATGAACGATCGATAATCAAAATTCGGCAAGCTGTTATACTCAATTAGTAGCTTGGTACTCTAAAGGAAAATGTGATTAACAACCCTTATTAAGAAATTAAATATGCTTCTTTTTATTTTTGCTAAATAAAATCTAAATTTTGACTGATTTGAATTTGCGGGATTCGATAAGTTAACAAATGTACGTTGTTTTATTTTATTTATACCTCATTGTCTAGCAAATTTATATGCTCGGACTAATTTAAGTTATTTTCAGAAAGAACTTGCATAAGAAAAAAGGAGGCCTTCGAGCAATGTACAAAAGTCAAATACATCACCTCATGCTAAGAATTCGAAATGGTGATTATACCCACTATGCTTATAGAGCTCCAAATTCACTTCCGATTGTTATTATTGAATGAATGAAACCGAAACTGGGTCTCTTAATAATTATCTCACTAAATAAGCAAATTAGAAGTCATTGTATTGCATTTTTTTCTATTTTCATTAGCAGTTACAAATGAAGATAAATAAGCCCTTCAATTATTTAAGCCTAAAAACAATGGATTGCAACATGATATATGCATGAGAGATTATGATTGACCACCTTTAAATGAATAATCTTCACAGCAAGAACACGTAAAAAAAACTGTTTGAGAGAAGAAAAAGAAAGAGTTACTCCCGAGTTAAGGAAAAAAAAGGATATAGGGAGGAAAGAATATATATACCATATTTCACCATATACATATATAGTGTAACATGTATAATTCCTTCTAACATAAACATTTATTATTTAACTAGGTTGAGTAAATATAAATCTAAACAAATTGAATAAAGCAAGATCAGTACAAGAATATTAAAAGTAAGGAACTAATGTTAATTCCATATAAAATGAATATAAACAAATAACTTTCCATATAATTTAATATTAACTTTTTCACCTAAATATACTAAACTTGATGCACTGTAAAATGGAATAAAATTTTCAAAGAAGGTGAAAAGAGAGTTGAAGAGGGTGAGTTTGGATTGTTCAAAACCGAACCGAAACCGTTAACCGAATCAAACCGATAGCTTATTGGCTTATTGGTATCGGATTATCGGGATAATGGATGGTGAACGGATTGAGATTCTATAATTAACGGCTTAACGGTTTGGGGGCGGATTACTCAATTTTCTTATCGGGTAAACTATTAACTCGTTAAGAATTTTTATATTTATACTTTTACCCCTATATATATAAAGTGCTATTGAAACCTTAAATGGTTAAATCCCTAATTTCTATTTTCTAATTCTCAATTGTCTGCAACCACCAGAGGCAGAGAAGTCATCAGTCCCGTCTCTCTCTTGAACTGAAAACTGAGAAGTCGAAAAATCGAAATCTCAATGATTAATACGTGTATGTCTGTATGAGTAGTCTTGATGGTATTAAAAATTTGGTTAATACGTGTATGACAGTATGAATAGTCTTGAAAACTCTTCAATTGAAAAATACCGTTTGGTTAGATCTTAGATGGTATTAAAAATTGATATTGATTTGAAGCTGTTTGATATTGATTGAATGATTGATCAAAATTTTTTTATTTGGTTTAGCCGATAAACCGCACGATAATCGCCCGATAATTGTTAATCCGATACCAATCTACTCGTTCTCTTATTGAATAGCTAGCGGATTACTACATTTATAATCTGATAACCGTTAAACTGAACCGTTAAGCGTAATTATCCATCCGATCCGCCCAATATGCACCCTAGGGTTAGTGGGTAAACTCGTCAGATTATAAAGTAAAATCGTTTTCCATTACCCATAAGTCTATAACTGAAAAAGAAGGTACTTCCAATAATAAAAGAGAAAAGTGATGAAAAAAGAGAGAAAAGAAAAGGAGTTAAATACTATTTAACTGGGGTTAAGCTTTAACCTGAGCATATCTCAGTGAGTCAGTGAAAGAAGCATTTCATTTTCAGTTAGTATATAGAGGGAAGACAAAAATGCTATGTATATTATGTGTAGAGAGAGCGAGAAACAAAGAGGGTGGATAATAAGGAAGCGGTTTTGGGGATTTGGCAACGTTGTTGATTCCAGGTGATAAAAATGGCCAGGAAAAAGCGGTTTTTGACAACCCGAAAAAGTGGTATTGGTTCCTACCAAGAAGACTGAAGCTAAAGAGAGGTTTTGTAACTGAAAAAAAGTTAGCTGTAGGAAGAGCACAAAAGCTGTTACATAACACTTATGTGTGTTTACATTTAGAGAGAGAAAGAAGAGGAGGAGTTGGCAGAAAATGGCTGATTAAGTGTATTTTGTTTGCTAGTAAAATTTGGATCTTAATTTGGAGGTTTTTGTTTGGATTTGTAATGATGATAATTGGGGTATGCTAAAGTGCGTGAACAACATTAAAAGGTTTCTTCTTCAAGCTTTGTTGTTAGCAGCCCTTTTCTTTTTTTGGTTCCTCTATTATTTTGTACTGTGAATTTCTAGGAGAGTTTTAGTGGCCTTTAATGGTTCAGGTAGAAGTTTTTAGAGGAGCCCCTGCGGTACAAAGTCAAAATACAGGTGAAAAAGATTTGCTTTTTTCTTGTTTGTTTTATGGGTTTTTATGAAATTTTGTTGTTTTCTAAGAAGGGGTAGCAAAGCTTGACTCTCTATCTGTTTATATTTGCTTCTCTTCTTCTTCTTTTGTTTTTTGTTCTTGAAATTCTCAATTGTATTTATGCACCTGGATAAGTCTTTAGTTACTGCAATTTACTAATCATTTTCATAAATCAATAAATTTCTGATTTGAGATAAGTTTGGTTTAAATGAAAATTGTAGTTTAGTCTTCATCCTATTGGGTTTCTTTGCAAAATCTCCAGCTTAAATAGCAACTTTTGTTTGCTCATTTGAGTGAAATTTTTTGGCCTTTCTATGTGATTTTGCTTCACTCCTTAGGCAAGCTTAATCTATCTCTGTCATCTCATATTATTTTTTCAATTATATGTTTATTTATGTAGGTTTTTTTTTTCTTTATCTGGTTAATTGTGTTTGAGTAGGTATGGAAAGTGATGCTATGTATACAGAGCTGTGGAAAGCTTGTGCAGGCCCTTTAGTGGATGTTCCTCGGACTGGAGAACGAGTTTACTACTTTCCACAGGGTCACATAGAACAAGTATTTCTTTCCAAACCCCTTCTATGATGCTATGAAGTTTTAATTTTTTAAAAAGAAAATTTTCTATGGTTGTGTATTGATTGTTGTTTTTTGTAGTTAGAGGCATCGACAAATCAAGCTCTGAAACAACAGATTCCCCAGTTTAATCTTCCTTCAAAGATACTCTGTCGCGTTGTTCACGTCCAGTTACTGGTATGTTCTTGATTCTTAAGTCTAACCTTTGTTTATTGAATTTGTTGCAAATGTCCTGTTATGGTTAAAGGAGAAAAGGAAATAAAAAGACATTGATCGTTTCCCTTCAATTGACAGGCAGAGACAGAGACTGATGAAGTCTATGCCCAGATCACTTTGCACCCTGAGGCAGTGGTAACTATCAGTAGTAATTGCTTTTATTTTTTCAGAATCTTTAGTTAAGCAGCCAGCATATGGTGCTAAAGGGTTGAATAATTATTGAATATGACTGCTATTTAGATTATTTAGTTTGACAAATTCTGTGTCTCATCACCTTAATTTCATCCTTGTAGCAAGATGAACCGTCTAGTCCTGATCCATGCCCACCTGATCTGCCAAAACATGCGGTTCATTCGTTCTGTAAAATTTTAACAGCATCAGATACAAGCACTCATGGAGGATTTTCTGTTCTTCGGAAACACGCCAATGAATGTCTCCCACTACTGGTAGTTCTTTCACTTTGTTTTCACTTTCTCTTTTTTGTTTTCTGAGAAAGATGGATGAAGTAAATGTGTTTAACTAACACCAGGTACTACTTATTCTTTCTATATCAGCAACTGTTGTGTAGATCCACTTGTCTTGATGTTATAGAACAAAATTGGTTGGAGAGGAAGGCTATTTCTTTTTCTTCCTGTCATAAGACTTCATTACGTTTAGCAAATCTTTAGAGGGTAATATGTTCTGATATTTGGACTGGTATGTGGCATCAACAGGACATGACTCAGTTGACTCCGACCCAAGATTTGGTCGCCAAAGATCTTCATGGGTATGAGTGGCGATTTAAGCATATCTTTAGAGGTAATTTTTACTAATGTTCAGTAAGAATTGATCATTGTAAAAATTTTCCCAGTATAATATTTCTAACTGCATTTTAGTTTCTGATAAACGTGTATATTTTCTTAGCTCCTTAATCTATCTAACTACTTTTCAGGCCAACCTCGAAGACACCTGCTTACTACTGGATGGAGTACATTTGTAACTTCCAAGAGATTAGTTGCTGGCGATGCTTTTGTTTTCCTGAGGTGCTAACTCTCTCTCTCGATCTCGATTTGTTAGGAACTGCTGCTGCTTCATTTTTTATTTCGTTCAATCATATGTAATTTTCCATGAAAGTAACGTGATTCACGTCTTAAATATCGCAGGGGTGATAATGGAGATCTGCGTGTTGGGGTTCGACGTCTTGCTCGGCAGCAAAGCCATATGCCTCAATCTGTAATATCCAGCCAAAATATGCATCTTGGTGTTCTTGCGACTGCATCTCATGCTATTACAACACAGACACTGTTTGTTGTATATTATAAGCCAAGGTATTCCTCTATCTCTGTGGTAGATGCCACATAATATTATTTAGACGTGCATGCTATATGACATCTCCTTGTTCTTCTAATACCATATGACATCAATCAGGACAAGCCAGTTTATAATTGGATTAAACAAGTATCTGGAGGCTGTGAGTCATGGGTTCTCAGTAGGTATGCGTTTCAGGATGAGGTTTGAAGGCGAAGATTCTCCTGAAAGAAGGTTCACCACTGCACTTCCTTCCCTTGTGTTAATTTGTAGGTCATGCTGCTGTTGCAGATTTTGATTTCTGCTCGTTTTAATTGTCAGGTTCACAGGAACGATAGTTGGAGTTGGTGACATTTCCTCGCAATGGTCAGAATCTAAATGGCGATCATTGAAGGTTAAGAATATGTTTGGATTCATAATTGGCAAAGTTTGGCACATTTATTGTCTCGTTTCACACTAGTTTACATTTTTGGCCCTTACAGATTCAATGGGATGAACCAGCATCCATAGTGAGGCCAGACAGGGTGTCGCCATGGGAGATAGAGCCTTCTGTCGCTCCTACTTCTATAGATGTTGCACAACCTGGAATAAAGATCAAGCGACCTCGTCCCCTTGAGCTTCCCCACACTGGTATATATATAGTAACTCTTGCTCTCATGTTTTACTTTTTCTTTTCCCTTCTACAAGCCCAGTCATTAAAGTTCTGCAATAATTGGTTTGTGGCAGACATTTCAGCTGCCTCTGCTGCTTCTCCGTTCTGGTACCCTGGATCTGGTCCTACTCTTGAAGTGAGCCACGTAGGTAGTATTGCTGATAACCAACTATACTGGTCTTCGGAGCAGAATAGCAGCCTCTCCAATGGCGTGAGCAACACTAGCTGTAGGACTCATCTCAGTGAAGCTTGGCAGCATAGTATGCTTGCAAATGGTTCCCTCAATATGCTCCGAGACTCTATTGAAGACAACAAGCAGCTGACTACACGATCAGCTCTGTTGGATTACGGTTCTCCGATGTCATCAAGGGCAAGTAAAGGCCTTTTACTTGACCAAGTGAATAGGGGTAATAAGCATGAGATCTCTTCTACTTGTCGCTTATTTGGCATTGATTTGCGGAACAACTCTAATAATACGCCTACCAGTGAGAAAGACGCACCTAACATTACATCCAACTACGCTGATGGATCCGAAGCTGATAAGGACCAGAATGTAGAGCATTTTAATCCTTCTGAAGAAAAGAAACAAGTCCAATTGGAGGCACTACTGAAGGATACACATAAGCAGTGCCTCACTTCATCAAGAACTCGTACTAAGGTACAAAAGATAGTTTGTCTTCATTCTTTAAACTGTTGAAACCATTTGTTTACCTGTAAGCTTACATATGATTATCCAAATTAGGTGCAAATGCAAGGGGTATGTGTTGGACGCGCTGTTGACTTGACTGGATTAAGTGGTTATGATGATCTTATCATTGAGCTGGAGAAGATATTTGATATCAAGGGAGAGCTTTGCCCTCGAAACAAATGGGAAGTTGTGTATACGGATGATGAGGGTGACATGATGCTTGTGGGGGATGATCCATGGCTGTGAGTCTGCAACCGACTTGATCATTTTCATCTATGTTTCTTTTGACTAAATGTTTTAATTGAATTTTCTAATTGCAGGGAGTTCTGTAAGATGGTCAGGAGGATATTTATATATTCTAGTGAGGAAGTGAAGAAGATGAGTCCTAGATGTAAGCTTCCTATTTTATCATTAGAAGGTGAAGGGACAATGCCAAGTGTAGATTCAGAGCTAAAATCTGAAAGATGACGAAACTTGCTGAACTTGTTGATATAATTGCTACAGATATATATATATGGGTAAAAGGCTTGACGAATAGACGTGCTTTTTCTTGTTTCTTTTCTCGTATAAAAAACCAAGGGAAGGATGTGAAGTTTGTGATTTGGTTCAAAGTAGGAGAGTACTAAGGAACTGGATTCATGGATTAATATTAGACTTTACTAATCTTGTAGTTAAGAAACTTGGTGAAAGTTAGTTCTGGAAATTGTGAATACCTTTGTGGTTGTGACAGGTTGTGGTGGGTTTTGATTTGATCAGTATGTTATTTAAGTAAAAAAGGTAAAGAAATGTAGTCTGATGGCAAATTATGGTTGGAGTTATTTTTTATAGTACTGAGTAGAGAAGAGTGACCATAAGTGTAGCACAACAAGTATGATTTTGTGGCCCCATCATCTTTTCAGGCTCTGGCTCAAAACCGTACCATTATTTGACACATATTACTGACTATAAAATATAAAGTTTTTTTACATAGATTATTTTCAAGTCAAGTGTGCATATTGCACATGGTTCCCAGTAAAGGTCTTGCTATGCTCTGCATGTGATCTTCAACAAAAAAAATTATACTTTTAGGCATGTGGTCCTAAAAGCTTGGAGTTTCATTCTATTCAAGTTTACTTTATTAAATCATTAGTTGGTGTTTGGTGCGATTACAATTGGGAGCCCTCTAGGGTGGCATAAGGATTAAAATTTGTGGATCTAGTCTGTTTATGAATAAATTGTCCTGACTAGAGCAGTATTTTAATTTTCTAGGATTTCTTTCTTGAATGTGAAGGCAAGGAGTTGTGTTCTTGAATATTGATATGATACTCCTAAAAAGAGACGTCCAATATGTCTATGACAAAGACGTGAAATATATATTTTCTGTTTTTGGACCGTACTTTTGTTTACAAAAGACTGGTGGTATTTCTACTTTTTATAAGAGATCAGGGGGAGGGGTGTAGGTTGCCTACTCTTGATATTTTGACTGGTTTCTTCAACTTAAATTGACTGCTCAATGCTGTGGATAATACACTGAGCATCTATAATCAGTAGTACAATTCAAGGTGAGCAAGTTGTCAAATGACTCTCTGAGGTGTAGGGTAACCCTAAGCATGCTTTAGTTCATAGCGATGCGCCCACACATGATATCACGAGTCAAGAGAAACAAATAGGTCAAAACAAAAAAAAAATTGGGCACCATTGCCGTTAAGGTATAGCGCGGTGAATAATCGCTCTATATTTGAACTTAAAATGGACGGGAGGTATAGCGCGCATATATAAGGCGCTATAGTATAGCGCCTTATATATGCACGTTAGACCTATATAAAAAAACTGTGCCATCTCCTTCCCCCACTAGACGTTGTCACGACCCAAAATCCAACTAGTCGTGATGGCACCTAACCCCACCCGCTAAGTAAGCCAGTTAACCACTAACCAATTCCAATAACAATAAATAAAGCAATTAAGTAAAGAAATTATCTGAATCTTATACATTCCCCAAGAACCGGTAGTACAAATCATGAGCTTCTAAGAATAGAGTTTACAATCTGTTTGAATAGTACATAAACAGAGTTTTACAGATCTAAAGCTACCACGAACAAGAGGCAGCTACAGCCGGGACGCAGGTACATCTTCAATCCACCTCCCATCGAACACAGCAACATCAGCAGCCAACATCTGCACGCAAGGTGCAGAAGTGTAGTATGAGTACAACCGACCGATTTACTCAATAAGTAACAAACCTAGCCTTAGGTTGAAAGTAGTGACGAGCTAACACGAAGGTCGGGTCCAACACCAATATTCCACAACTCAACATACCAGCATAGAACAAGTAATAAAAGAATATCTCAGAAATAAAAGGCTCAGATTGTTTACATTTCGAGAAAAGTAGGCATTTCTTTTCAAGTATCTCAGTGAAAGCCCAAATCTTTTACCGAAAAAGCCAAAATACGAGTGAGTTTGAAAACTTTGATTTTTCCCAAAGTCCTTTCAACAATAAGTAAGATATTTCATTTTCTGATAGCATGAGGAAAGTACTTCTCTATGCATACATGTCAAGATACAGGTAAAATCATAAATGTCCCCACAATTGGGTAGCAGAATGAAATGCACCTCTATGCATGTATCATAAGTACGCATGTCAAATGCAATGCATCTCAATGATGAGCTCATGTACTCACGCTCTCAGAGTACTTAACCTCACTGTCTCGCATTCTCTCTCACTATGCTCAACATACTCAATCACTCAGCGATGTACAATACCCGTTGCGGCGTGCAGCCCGATCCCTGTTTATAGTCGACTGCGCTCACTAGGGGTGTGCAGACTCCAGAGGGGTTCCTTTCAGCCCATACGCTATATCGCTGCGGCGTGCACCCCGAGCCCAAAATATCAATATAACATGTTGCGGCGTGCAGCCCGATCCCAAAATAGCAATATAACATGCTGCGGCGTGCAGCCCGATCCCAAAATATCAATCTCAATCAAGCCCTCGGGCTCACTCAGTCATCACTCTCCAGTCTCACTCACGCGCTCACAATGCCATGAAACTAGCCCGATAATAATGATATGATGTATCAATAAATAACAACTGAGACTGAGATAAGATATGAATGCATGAATATGACTGAGTACGAAATATCAATGAAATCAGTGAGATGACAGTAAGAAACGACCATTATGGGTCCAAACAGTATCGGCATAATGCCTAAACATGATATCTTGCATGATTGACATCTTAATTACTTTATAACACGGTGAAAACACGGATATCAACAAAATAGGACCACTATACAGTGCCATAGAAATAACAGAGTTCCAATTCATATGGTGCACGCCCACACGCCCGTCATCTAGCATGTGCGTCACCTCAATACCAATCACATAATATGTATTACGGGGTTTCATACCCTCATCATTAAGATTAGAAGAGTTACTTACCTCGAAAAAGCCTATACAAATGCCGAACAAGACAAGCGGTGCTCTAAAGATGCCATCCCGCGCGTTCCGACCTCCGAACGGCTCGAAACTAACCAAAAACAACTCAAATACATCAAACAATGCTAAAGGAACCAATCCCGATCGAAAAGATCAAATCTTGAATCAAAAGCCCAAAACCGACCAAAAGCCCAACCTGGGCCCGTACCTCGAAACCCGATAAAATTTACAAAATCCAACAACCCATTCAATTACGAATCCAACCATACTCGTTTCACTCAAATCCGACCCCAATTCGATGTTCAAAACTCAAAAATTCATATTATGAAACTTTTGCCCAAAACCCCCAATTTCCTCTTTAAAATTCATCAACCAAAAGCTAAAATCGAAGATAGATTCATGGAATATAACCAAATCCGAGTTGAGGACACTTACCCAATTCATATGGTGAAAATTACTTCAAGAATTGCCTCAATTCGAGCTCCATAACTCCAAAAATGTAAAAATGGTCGAAACCCTCAAAATAATGTACTTTATAATATGCCCGGGCCTCCTCTTTCGCGAACGCGGAAAATCCATCGCGTTCGCGATGAATAAAACTCACACTGCCACAAAAGACTCTATGCGTTCGCGATACACCCCACGCGAACGTGATGAACAATGCTGCCAAAAGCTTCACGAACGCAATTGACCTTATGCGATCGCATAGAAGAACGCTCAAATTCCCAGCTGCCAACCTCAACACTTCGCGAACGCGATCCTTCATACACGAACGCGAAGAGGACTTGCCCCAACTCTACGCAAATGCGGGACATACTTCGCGATCATGAAGAACAATTGACTGCTGCCATCAAAATACACTACGCGTTCGCGACACTAGCCACGCGAACGCGATGAAGAACTGAGACACCCGAAAACAGCAGAACACAGGAGTACCAAAATGAAGAAAAATGATCCGAAATCAATTCGAAACACGTCGGAGCCCCTCGGGACCCCGTCCAAACATGCCAACAAGTCTCATAACATAACACAGACCTACTCGAGGCCTCAAAACACACATAACAACATCGGAACGACGACTCACACCTAAATTCGAATTCAATGAACTTTGAAACTTCTAACTTTCACAACCAATGCCGAAACCTATCAAATTACGCCCGATTGACCTCAAATTCTGTTCACAAGTCACATTCAACATTACGGACCTGCTCCAACTACCGAAATCGGAATCCGACCCCGATATCGAAAAGTCTACTCCCGATCAACCTTTCCAAAATTTTAACTTTCGCCATTTCGAGCCAAATTCAACCACAGACCTCCAAATCACAATCCGGACACGCTCCTAAGTCCAAAATCACCCAACGGAGCTAACAGAACCATTAAAAATCCAATCCGAGGTCAAATGTTAAAAAGTCCAACTTGGTCAACTCTTTCAAATTTAAAGCTCCCTAGTTGAGAATCATTCTTTCAAATCAATCCCGAATAACATGAAGACCAAACTAACGATTCACACAAATCAAAATACATCATACGGAAGTACTCACGCCCGTAAACTACTGAGCGAAGTGCAAATGCTCAAAACGACCGGCCGGGTCGTTACATCCTCCCCCACTTAAACATATGTTCGTCCTCGAACGTGTCCAGAGTTGTTATCAAAGCCATCAAACCGCCATATAACCTTACCATGCACATACCCGGGGGGTGATCCCATGTCACCCAATCCCATACAGGTCCGATAACACAACATAACTAAAATTTCTCAATTCACCCTAGCCCACAAGCCTTCGAATCAAATTTCCAACATACGGAATTTTTTATAAGATCAGAATTTCGCATCTACATACTGTATAAGTCTGAACAAGCTGTACCAAAAGCGATAACCATAACTCAAATACTCAAAACTCAAATACCACATAGCTCAAATGCTCGAAGCAATGATTTCTAATCACAGTAGCTGCTCAAAACAACCCAATGCCGGTAATAAACCTTATATCAAACAAGACTCTATTCTAAAACCTTCGTACACTACCGATGATGAAAGAAACACACAGAAACTCATAACCATTCATTAGATCCACCAGCCGTGGAGCTCTCTCTCCTTCGACAAGAACCATAGAAAATTTCTAAGCCGACTTTTGATATTATCCTTCCAAATATACCACAACCAAATCTGATAGCACCCATCCTAGATCCGACGACTTCATCTTATCAAATACCAGCTACTCTACTGACATGTCACCCCAATACTATCCAATAAGCATTATTCCAAATGTACTCAATCACGAAAATGACTCAAATAAGAGAACCGTTTCGCAAGCTCGACGGGTACCACCCCAACACAGTGCTAAGAACCCATCACACACCATAGAACCATAACACACGAATCTAATACAAAGGATCATATCTCAACATAACTCTGCCGCAATGCGCGACCCCATCCAAATACTGATCTATATAAAATACCTCATCCCTCATGCTCAAAAT